GTGCATAAGACTGACATGACACCTTCATAATCATGACATGACACGTCATGAATATGAAGGTTTTTTATGCATGTTTATGACAACTGCCATTAAGTGTCATTCACTCAGTTATGTAATTTTTAATGCAAAGATGACATTGTTTGAGATGTCTTTGTTATGGGCTATGGTTAGGGGTAAGGCTAGGGGTAGGGTTAGGTTAGGGTTAGGTCAAATAATGTCATATTTGCATTAAAAATGACATAACTGAGCGAATGACACTTAATGACAGTTGTCATAAACATGCATAAAACCTCCTTCATATTCATGACATGTGTCATGCCATGATTATGAAGGTGTCATGTCAGTCTTATGCACACCCCTTCGAGTAAAGTGTTACCGAGTTCACTTGGGTCTTTTTCATAGAGAAGCAGAAAACTAACAATTTAATCTCACTACTCTCTCAATCAAAGATATACATTTTTTTTTTTGACTTTTATGAGCACCCATATCATTCGACAATACAATATCTATTAACCTTAAAACATCTGCAAAAGAGAACTTGGCTGTTCAAGCCCTTCATCATGGCCACTGCAACTGTTAAAAATCAGCATAAATAATGCATAAATACCAACTTCAACAGGCATCAGCTCCACAACATGTATATTATTAAAACTTCTGTTCGGGCAAAGCAGAGACACTACTCTAAATGAGATTAAAACATGTACCCTAAGCGATATTAAATATTAACTATGGCTAACTGAGATTTGACTCTGCATGCCAGAGACTGAATGGTTCAGTTACCAGCCCATCAATAATACAGCAGCCTGAACGAGGCTTCAAGGGGGAAATGGGATGGGACAGGGGGACGAGTGAGGAATGCAGGGACGCTTTGCGCTTAGAGGTAGAAAGCATGCATTTGGGCAAGAATAGAAAAAGATGTGGGCAGGTGGAAGACAGCTTTGGAATAGGATAGTGGGATGCAGAAGTCATAAACCGTCTCTGTTGTTGACAGGGGATGGGAGAGGGATGTGGGAGTGAATGAAGGAGACAGAATGTAGATGGATGGGGGCGAAGGATGGTGTGGGCGTGGATCATGAACTTGCCGTACGGAGAAGTGGAGAGATTGTTTTTTGATGGAGTTGGAGAGTGGATGAGCAAAACGTAGAATGACACGCAGGCATATTGGCAGAGACGTACAGATGGATTATGAAGCGGCAAGAGGAAGAAGTATGAAAAAAAGATGAAAAAAGAGAGTGAGAGTGAGAGAACTATAATCAATGAAAAGAGCTCCTAGCCTTAAGTCCCCAATGGAGAAATGGCGGATGACCTTGTGACCCCTGTGAACAGCTATGACAGAGATTAACGTGTCCCTGGTCAACAGTGCAATTTATTTTAAAAGTGCCATCAAACCAAGAGCAGTTCCTGATCATCAACCTGTTACATGCTTTTCTTGATTTTAGTGGGTTCCCTAGTGGAAACGGTCTCACTTCCTCTCATAAATGTTCTTGTTGGGACAAAAATACACACGTGGTGAATAACCAAAGGACAGATGTTATAGATTATAGTCCATATTGTTTTCATTTTTCGTGTCTGCTTTTCAAAATTAATGGCCTAAATAACATGTATCTGTGTAATGTTTTCTAATAAGTTGATGTTCTACTGAACAGATCTTTTAAATAAGTGAACAAATGAATGTTCACTGAAGTCTCTCGATTTTGAAACAAGTGACTGCTTAAAGTGAACAAACAGGGTTCAAATCTGGGTTGTGAAGCATCGTTTCATTGGTTGGAACAATCAAACGAACACAGCCCTTCACAAAACAAGAGTCACTGAATGAGACTGAATGAGAATAAATCTTGTTTGTGAACTAATTGAATGAACTTGTTTGTGAAAATACTGAACGAGGGATCTGTAGGCATGGCCGGACTTACCATTGGGCTTGAGTGGGCTGCAGCCCATGGGCCCTGCCTTGTAGGGGGCCCCGCCTTTGCCCTCACATGGCTACTTTAAACAGCTCCATTAGCCCCAAAGAGCACACATTTAGAAAGATAATGATAAATTCTTAAATGTTCACACCTTATTTCTTTACAGAGGATGATTCTATATTACTATATTAATGTTCCACTAAATTATGCGATCATCTGATGAGTTTTGAGCGCTCTCTCTCATCTTACTGCCATTACACATAGTGGGGAAGAAATGTCATCAAAATTATTTTCAATTAAAAATAGCAATTTAATGAGTTTCTGTTTTTATAACATAGCTATTGAAAGTGTAATTTAAGTTCTTTTCGGTGTTATCAGGAGAAGATGCCACAAAACGCGTATCCGCATTAGTCGACCCCAAAGGGTTAAACAAAGGCTGGGGAACACAGGACTCGACACATCAGGGGGACAGGATGACGTCTAACGACTGACCAAGGACAAGAACTAGAACACACTTTAAATACACAGGAACAGATGAGAGGAAGACAAGGAACACCTGGAATTAATGACAATTAACATTGGAAACACCTGGGAACAATGAACTCAAAACATGAGACAGAGAAACTGGATGACGGAGCACATATGGAGCACAGACACACACAAAACCTGGCCCAGAGCCTGACATTACTCCCCCCTCCCAGAAGGCGTGTCTTCACGCCACCAAAACATCCAATGGGGAGGGGGTTGGGCGCTCTGGAGACCTCTAGGAGTAGGGTTACCAGACACGAGGCCTCCAGAGCGGGGCACCATGGTGGATCTGTCAGCTCTGGGCGCCAAGGCGGAAGAGGGACCACAGGAGGACATGGCGGACTAGGGAACACAGGAGGCCAAGGCGGAAGAGGGAACACAGGAGGCCATGGCGGAAGAGGGAACACAGGAGGCCATGGTGGGGTAGGGAACACAGGAGGCCATGGTGGGGTAGGGAACACAGGAGGCCATGGTGGTGCAGGCAGTTCCGGAGGTCATGGCGGAGCAGCCTCCGAGGCCGCGGCCCCAGCCCCCGCCTCTACGGCTGGAGCCATAGTACCCCC